TTCATGATAAATTAAAGTTCAATTAATCATATTACTTAAGAACTCCTACTTAGATAGACATCCCTCTAATCATCTAAGTGATCACGTGATTCAAATCAACTAAACCATGTCTGATCATCACGTGAGATGGAGTAGTTTTCAATGGTGAACATCACTATGTTGATCATATCTACTATATGATTCACGTTCGACCTTTCGGTCTTAGTGTTCCGAGGCCATATCTGCATATGCTAGGCTCGTCAAGTTTAACCTGAGTATTCTGCGTGTACAAAACTGGCTTGCACCCGTTGTATGTGAACGTAGAGCTTATCACACCCGAGCATCACATGGTGTCTCGGCACTACGAACTGTAGCAACGGTGCATACTCAGGGAGAACACTTATACATTGAAATTTAGTAAGGGATCATCTTATAATGTTACCGCCATACTAAGCAAAATAAGATGCATAAAAGATAAATCACATGCAATCAAAATATGTGACATGATATAGCCATCATCATCTTGTGCTTATGATCTCCATCACCGAAGCATCGTCATGATCTCCATCGTCACCGGCGCGACACCTTGATCTCCATCATAGCATCATTGTCATCTCGCCAAGTATTGTTACTACGACTATCGCCACCGCTTAGTGATAAAGTAAAACAATTATATGGCGATTGCATTGCATACAATAAAGCGACAACCATATGGCTCCTGCCAGTTGCCGATAACTTTGTTACAAAAACATGATCATCTCATACAACAATTTATATCACATCATGCCTTGACCATATCACATCACAGCAAGCCCTGCAAAAACAAGTTAGACGTCCTCTACTTTGTTGTTGCAAGTTTTACGTGGCTGCTATGGGCTTCTAGTAAGAACCGTTCTTACCTACGCATCAAAACCACAACGATTTTTAGTCAAGTGTACTGTTTTAACCTTCAACAAGGACCGGGCATAGCCACACTCGATTCAACTGAAGTTGGAGAAACAGACACTCACTAGCCACCTGTGTGCGAAGCACGTCGGTAGAACCAGTGTTGCGTAAGCGTATGCGTAATGTCGGTCTGAGCCGCTTCATCCAATAATACTGCCAAATCAAAGTATGACATGCTGATAAGCAGTATGACTATTATCGCCCACAACTCTTTGTGTTCTGCTCGTGCATATAACATCTACGCATAGATCTGGCTCGGATGCCACTGTTTGGGAACGCATCAATTTCAAAAAATTTCCTACGATCACGCAAGATCTATCTAGGTGATGCATAGCAAAGAGAGGGGAGAGTGTTGTCTACGTACCCTCATAGACTGAAAGCGGAAGCATTATGAAAACACGGTTGATGTAGTCGTACGTCTTCACGATCCGACCGATCCTAGCACCGAAGGTACGACACCTCCGCAATCTGCACACGTTCAGCTCGGTGACGTCCCACAAACTCTAGGTCTAGCTGAGGTCGAGGGAGAGTTTCGTCAGCATGATGGCGTGTTGACAGTGATGATGAAGTTATCGGCGCAAGGCTTCTCCTAAGCACTACGATGATATGACCGAGGTGGAAATCTGTGGAGGGGGGCACCGCACACGACTGAAAGATCAACTTGATCAACTTGTGTCTCTATGGGGTGCCCCCTCCCCCATATATAAAGGAGTGGAGGAGGGGAGGGCCGACCCTCTATGGCGCGCCCAAGGGGGGTGTCCTACTCCCAGTAGGAGTAGGTTTCCCCCCTTCCCTAGTTGGAGTAGGATAAGAAGGAAGAGGAAGAGGGAGAGAAGGAAAGGGGGGCCGACCCCCCTCCCAATTTGGATTGGGCAGGGGGCCCACCTTGGCCTCCTCCTCCTCTCTTCCACCGTGGCCCATTAAGGCCCATTGACTCCTCGGGGGGTTCGAGTAACCTCCCAGTACTCCGGAAAAATGCCCGAACCACTCAGAACCTTTCCGGTGTCCAAACATAGCCTTCCAATATATCAATCTTTATGTCTCGACCATTTCGAGACTCCTCGTCATGTCCGTGATCACATCCGGGACTCCGATCAACCTTCGATACATCAAAACACATAAACTCATAATACCAATCATCATCAAACGTTAAGCGTGCGGACCCTATGGGTTCGAGAACTATGTAGACATGACCGAGACTCACTTCTGGTCAACAACCAATAGCGGAACCTAGATACTCATATTGGTTCCTACATATTCTACGAAGATCTTTATCGGTCAAACCGCATAACAACATATGTTGTTCCCTTTGTCATCGGTATGTTACTTGCCCGAGATTCGATCGTCGGTATCATCATACCTATTTCAATCTCGTTACCGGTAAGTCTCTTTACTCGTTCCATAATACTTCATCCCAAAAATAACTCATTAGTTACAATGCTTTCAAGGCTTATAGTGATGAGTATTACCGAGAGGGCCCAGAGATACCTCTCGGAAACACGGAGTGACAAATCCTAATCTTGATCTATGCCAACCCAATAAACACCTTCGAAGACACCTGTAGAGCACCTTTATAATCATCCATTTACGTTGTGACGTTTGGTAGCACACAAAGTGTTCCTCTGGTATTCGGGAGTTGCATAATCTCATATATGAGGAACTTGTATAAGTCATGAAGAAAGCAGTAGCAAAGAAACTGTTACAATCATAATGCTAAGCTAACGGATGGGTCATGTCCATCACATCATTCTCTTAATGATGTGATCTCGTTCATCAAATGACAACACATGTCTATGTTTAGGAAACATAACCATCTTTGATTAATGAGCTAGTCAAGTAGAGGCATACTAGGGACTATATGTTTTGTCTATGTATTCACACATGTACTAAGTTTCCGGTTAATACAATTCTAGCATGAATAATAAAAATTTATCATGAATTAAGGAAATAAATAATAACTTTATTATTGCCTCTAGGGCATATTTCCTTCAGCTCGGGTATTGAAAATCTAGAGGTGAAGAATAAGTGCTTACTTAGCAAATGGGTTTATCGGTTGGCGGTAGAGAGGGACGGGGTTTGGATTCAGCTGCTGCATAATAAATATTTACATTCTAAAACACTGGCTCAAGTGACGGCACAACCATCCGACTCTCCTTTTTGGAAGGGGCTTATGAGGGCAAAGGTTGCCTTCTTTAACAGGAGCAAATTCATTGTAGGGAATGGACAGGGTACTAGGTTTTGGGAGGACACCTGGTTGGGTGAGATTCCATTAGCCTTGCTGTATCCCTCCCTATATAACATTGTAAAGTGGAAAGAGGTTTTTGTTGGTACAGTGTTGGGATTTGTTCATCTGAACATTCAGTTTTGACGGTCTTTATTGGTTGATTGATGGGATAGATGGCAGCATCTCGTGCGTAGGTTAATGAAGATTAACCTTTCTGATGTAGCAGACTCCTAACATTGGAAGTTGTCTGCGTCAGGAGTATTCTCGGTTAAATATATGTATATGGATTTGATTAACACCGGGCCTGTCCCAAGGACGATACATATTTGTTAAGTTAAAGTGCCTTTGAAAATCAAGGTGTTTATGTGGTGCATGAGGGAGTAATTTTGACAAAATATAACTTGGCCAAGTGTAGTTGGGAAGTGAGCAAAAGATGCTACTTCTGTGATCAGGATGAAACAATAGAACATCTTTTTATCTAATGCCCACTTGCCAAGTTACCGTCGAGAACTATTCACGCTGCTTTTAAAGTTGTTTCGCCAGTCTCAATCTCGCATTTATTTGGGACCTGGTTAACTGAGATAGAGCCTAAGACCACGGGGCATATTTGAATTGGAGTATGTGCATTACTTGGGGCCATATGGAATTATCGGAATGAACCATCATTATTTTTTGCAGGTTATCTTCAGGGCGTCTATTGGATCCGTATATGGTCATTACTCAGCCATGTCCCACAAGGAGCATATTGATATTGGGTTCAACGGATGGGAGATGCTCGCACGGAATACTTACAACCGGTTTGGATGGCGGTCCAATAATAGGATAGATATTTAGTCATCTTTTCCTATTTTTCGCTGGTTGTGGCAAATTTATTTTTTGGAGTTGCCGTACTACAGTTTAAGATTCCTTTTGAAAAAAAATGATGGGGTGATGCTTGAATATGCATTTTGAAAACCTACACACTTGGCTGTTCTCCATTTATCAAGTTATAGCTCAGTCGATGCTTCATTAGTTTTTCTTCATGGATCACGTTTCATGGAACAGATCATCAGTGACGCCATTTAACTAGTATAAGATATCCCCTCTTTCCCAAAGGCAGCCGCATATGGAGAAGAGACATTTGTGACATGCACAAGCCATTCATGCATCTAGTGTTGAACTCGAAAGGAGCAGCGAAGGTAGACGCAAGTATAATATAAAGCGGGACAGATGTACGAATCCACTGTAAAGCGTAAACTGAAAGCAGATGAGAGAAGTGGAGAACCTTGCAAAGAGGCTGAAAACTACGGCGCGATGCAAACCCGAGAAGGAACAGAGCAATCAACATCGTACTGTAACGTGAAAGACCCGGCGCATCAGTCAAGAACATACTAATAACCTAGCTATATCACCATTTTATGCCAGATTTTAGTGCATAATTTTGGCAAGTAGATCGTAAGTCAAGATTTGAATTCGGGTTAGGTATGTAGCCCTTTCAGAATGATCCGAAGAATATGATTCGATAGAAAAGCAAATCCATTTCCTTGGCAGGACTTTTTATCCCCTTGTCTTGATTGAGTGCATGATTGAGGTGCGGTCACGCTCAGGGCACCTCGCGCTGGATGGAGCTGCGGGGGCATGTCCCATCCTAGGAAAAGAAATGCACGCTTGCCCAACACACTTCATTTAGTCCGAAACCTCTGAGGTTTAATCACTCTCGCTGTGTCTTGCACCAACCCTAACCATGCAGGATTAGGCACGCTGTCCTTGTCTCTATTCTTTCTCCTGGGTATATAAATGGCCCCTTTCATCGCCTAAGGTTCTGTACTTGGCCTCATCAGTGGTTCTTGCTGGAAGCAAAAGTTGAGTGATCATGGGCGCCTTGGATCATCTGTCCCGTCTGTGTAACTTCACACATACAAGGGAAGCCATCAGGATCAAGAAAAGGCGGCCACTGACGGTGAGGATTGTGGAATTCAAGCACGTTTGTGTTCCATTTTTTTGGTGTAGGTTTGTTCATCGATCGGAAGCAGCTCCATCTTCCGAAGATGGCCTTCTGATCTTGTGAAGGGATCAATGTATTTTTTTTTGCACTTTTTTTTTGTCATTTTGTTAATTGAGCTGCCACAAACGTGTGATTAACTGGAGTTTCATTTAACTATCTATCTATCTATCTATCTATCTATCTATCTATCTATCTACAGACGGTGAACATCAAGGTGAAGATGGACTGTGATGGCTGCGAGAGGAGGGTCAAGAACGCCGTCAAATCGATTCGGGGTACATATACACATACTGACCGATATCGATCTGAAACGTCAAACCAAGCGATCTAATTCTTTTCTTTTGAAAATATTTTTTTATTTTGAGGATAGAAAATATAACATTTAGTTCATATATTTATTTGGTGAACGTTCATATGCATATGCCAAAGGTGTAACGACGGTGGTGGTGAATCGCAAGATCAACAAGGTGACGGTGACGGGGTACGTGGAGCCTCGCAAGGTGCTGGCGAGGGTGAAGAGAACTGGGAAGACGACGGCGGATATGTGGCCGTACGTGCCCTACACGGTGGCCACCTACCCCTACGTCGGCGGCTCCTACGACAAGAAGGCGCCGGCGGGCCTGGTCCGCAACGTGCCGCAGGCCATGGCCGACCCGGCCGCGCCGGAGGTCAAGTACATGAACATGTTCAACGACGAGGACGTTACCGCTTGCACCGTCATGTGATTCGATCATATCATATTAGCATCTGCACTCCGGCCATCTGCACCCAGCCACGACGACATGCCGAGATTACTACTGTAGATATATCGGTGTTCTCGCAGCGCTGGGGAAGAATGATACCAAGAAGATGAGCTTGTGCATGTACGGTACTGATGGATGATGTACACCAAATTAAGAGCCATAATTCGGAACGATGCCCATGCTCATCTACTACACCTGGGTGAACAGTCAATTAAAAATAATAATAGTAAATTCAAAAAACATCTACTTCTTTTAGAAATCCAAGATGCTCATGTGCGCGGAAAATTTCGGGGTGTTCGGACATTTGATGAGCGAACAAAAAAAAATCAGCTATGAACAGTATTCTTTTTCAAAGTTTCTTAGAGAGCTAAATTGTTTTTGGCACGAGCTTCTCAGATGTTCAAACACCATAAAATATTGCATGCATGAGCATCTTGGATGCCTAAATTTTTAGATTTTATTTTGAATTTTTTACTATTTTCTTCACGTCCGAGGTGTAGATAAGCCTGAGTTACAACTTTATAGTACGGCTTTATGATCTTCGATATATACATACCTGTCAGTCTCAAGCCTTCTCTTTTGTCCTACTTGATCATCGTTATCTTTCTTTTTGCAATGGGGGAAAGCATGCAAAATTGAATCTTCCAACTCTTGATTGTCAAAAAAGATTGTTCCAATTCATTGTCAGCCTACAGTTCTCACCATGCACCTGAAAGCAGGGGCAGACCCAGGATTGGGCTAAGCCCCGGGCCCTAGGCCGCCTACAGTGCCCATAAAACATATGCATTAGCAGAAAGGGTGAATCTAAGCTTATAAAGTGGAACAAATTTATTTTCTGATGGAATGTGGTAGGTAGTAATCGTTCTTCTCCCAGAAGTAGTGACCTAAATGCTCTTATATTTTTTTTACAGAGACTACTACTTTTCTAATATGAACTTAGTAAATATGCATTTTTATCGTCGGGTGCAAAGGTCAGGGATAAATCCTCCTTTTCTAAAAAATTATATTCTAAACTTAATCAATATGGCTATGTGTATCCTTGGAAAAAAGGCTATGTGTATTGTCTGATGCAAAGGTTTGGGTAAACCCTCCTTTTCAAAGTAATAGTTCTGGTGCATTGTCATGGAACAATGAACTTATACACAGACATTGATCAAACGTTATTGTAATTCACAACATGTATGTTGCATACGACGCCTTTGTGGCTCTTCTCTGTTGGCTACGCATACCATGCTTTGTGCTCACGGCTGACTTTCGCATGGATCACACCTTGTGAAAAGCGCTCCTTCCCGAAGATCAAGATCTTTGCGTGGCATTTTCTACGTGATCGCCTCTCGTCCGGGACTGAGGTGCTCTAGCAGAATGGGAATGGCGATGGACTATGTCCTCTTTGTGTCGTCTCGGAGAATGGGGCCCACTTCTTCTTCACCTCAACGGCTGCTCGGTTTCTTTGGTGCTTTGCCGGTGAGGCTCTGGGACCTGATTGGGAGGCCCTGGACCTAGCAGCGTTTCTCAAAACTCAAACCAACCAGACCAGGAGTAGGAGATGACTCTTCTGGTTAGTGTTCATGGCATTCACTTGGATTCTCTGGGCGACTCGTAACAGGATGGTGATTGAGCGGGACTTTCTGTGGTGAGCCACTAATTCTATATTCAAATTTACCCGCTCTCTAGGGAGCGGGATTGGGATCGGCTTGGCAGCATGAGGGACCCGATGACTGTGGCAACTCTAGTCGCCTTGCTACGCCTCATAGCCATTGAGCTACCGGCCACCTAGTGGCTTTCCACCTATTTTTAGTAGGGCATGTTTGTGTTGTTGGCCCAATAGATTTCTTCTTAATTTTCTTACACTTGAACTTATTGTATGGATATGGTGATTTTTTATCTATAAAGCATGCGGAAACCCATTTCGAGGAACATGTACATTGCATGCAGCTTATGACTTTGTTTGGACAAATATCGTCCTAGATTCTATCCTTGCTGCCTCCTCAGCTCCGCCACATCCGCCGCTGACGACGCGGGTCTCTTCTATGTTCTCCTGATCGTTGCTTACCATGTGAGCTTGATAATAATGACAAACACCCATTTATTTTGTCCATTTTAGCCCTCTACCACGTGCCCTCCTGCATAGTAGTATCTAGTACCGCTCGCCATGCCTACTGTGTTACTCAACCTTGTCATTCTCCTCCGACTCGATCTGCTTCCTTGTAGTTCAACCACTGTATGGTGTTCCTTGCCTTCCTTTCCAACACCCTTCTCCCATATCCGAGATGAAGTACCATGCATTTTTTCTTTTGAAAGATCCCGCTAAGTGTTTGATTCTTTCTATTATATCATTAGCATGGAGCAAATGTTTGTAGGTAGATCCCAAGGATCAAATGATGGGAAATAAAAGAAGGTAAAAAAGGCCCCTCTGGAGGCCCCTATGGAGACGTATCCCTAAAAGGGGACTCCACGAACTTCGCATAGGCTACTCGCCTAGCTCTATGCATCTCCTGATTGACACGGTGACCCTCTGGAGGGGCGGTTGTTTCATGCTTTCCAAAGCTCCCCCCGATCACCATGAGGAGTAAGGATATGATGCTTTTTTTCTTCTTGTTTCCTTGCATGCCATTAGTTACCCATGTCGTTGGATCTAGAAAGGTGCATGCCTTCCATCTTGAGAGGCGGCTCCACACCACCCTCGACACCGGGCATGTGCAGAATAGGTGACTAGAGGTCTCGAGCTAAGGGGAGAGCCACTTAGCCAAGTGCTCTGCCAGAAAGAGGCCTGCTCTATGTTGCCTATGGTGACCGTGGTTGCAGAGACAAAGAACACCAGATCTGAGTTGTCACAGGATAGCTTAGTGCCGAAAGCACTATAATTTGATTTATCATTATGTGGAAAGTCATATATCATGATGAAACTTATCTAGCATGGTCTCTTACATATACCATGGGGTTTGAAGCTAGTATGAAATTAATTTTTTTAGTATTAATGGCAGAGGAAGGGATAACTGTTGAGAATCATAGTAGAAAAAAATTGTCCTACGAAACTAATCTAGGATCACTATGAAGATATACATACAAGGTTAGATATGATCTTACCAACAATGGGTTTCCGTGGAAGAAGGGTTGGTGAAGATCATTCTTGAAGTCCTTCGAAATGTTCCACAATTATTTCCCTCGAACAAGAATCAAGAGCATGATCCCTCTATGGATTGCATGCGTATGACTGTAGAGATCTGGCAAAGCTTCGTTGTCCAGAACTTGACAATGCTGGAGTAGAAGAAGAGGGAGGAGAAGCCGTTTCAGAGAAGAGTCTATGACAGAGAACTAGAGGGAGAGGGGGGCTTCCAAGAACACATGAGAGAAGTTGTGTCTCTAGGGGGCACCCCCTTTGGTATATATAAGGTGGACGAGGAGACCAACTTGGAGGAGGGGCTCCCCCCTTGTGGCAGCGAGCAAGGGGTGGCGACCCACCCCTCAAACCATAGCCGCACCCCCAACTTGGAGGACAAGGCTAGGGGGTGGGCAACCTTATTGGGCCCTAGGCCCATGTGGCTGCCCCATAATAGGCTTTAGCCTATTTTGGAAGCCCATGGCGCATAGCAAAATCCCGGGGTGCCCTCGATAAATTCCGGAGCACTTCTATATTATTTTTACACCCTTCGGAACTTTGCACCTATCCCGTTTTATCTGGTTTTCTCCAAATGCTTCTGATTTCTCCGAAACACTTCCGGTTCTCTCTCAAAACAATTTCCATTATCTCCAAACTTTTTTTGGTGATTGATACGTCTCCAACGTATCTATAATTTTTGAATGTTCCATGCTATTATATTACCCTTTTTGGATGTTTATGGGCTTTATTTTAAACATTTATATCATTTTTGGGACTAACCTACTAACTGGAGGCCCAACCCATATTGCTGTTTTATTGCCTGTTTCAGTATTTCGAAGAAAAGGAATATCAAACGGAGTCCAAATGGAATGAATCTTCGGGAGCGTGATTTTTTAGGAAAAATATCATCCGGCAGACTTGGAGTTCACGTTAGAAGATCCTCGAGGAGGCCACGAGACAGGGGGGCGCGCCCCCTCCCTGGGCGCGCCCTACCCTCTCGTGGGCCCCTCGAGGCTCCCCTGGCCGATTTCTTTCTCCTATATGAGCCTACGTACCCTAAAAACATCAAGACAGAAGATAGATCGGGAGTTGCGCCGCCGCAAGCCTCTGTAGCCACCAAAAACCTCTCGGGAGCCCGTTCTGGCACCCTGCCGGAGGGGGATCCCTCACCGGTGGCCATCTTCATCATCCCAGCGCTATCCATGACGAGGAGGGGGTAGTTCACCCTCGGGGCTGAGGGTATGTACCAGTAGCTATGTGTTTGACCTCTCTCTCTCTCTCTCCCTCTCTCTCTCTCTCTCGTGTTCTCTCTATGGCACAATCTTGATGTATCGCGAGCTTTGCTATTATAGTTGGATCTTATGATGTTTCTCCTGCTCTACTCTCTTGTGATGAATTAAGTTTCCCTCTTGAAGTTATCTTATCGGATTGAGTCTTTGATTTGAGAACACTTGATGTATGTCTTGCCATGTTTATCTATAGTGACAATGGGATATCACGTGCCACTTGATGTATGTCTTGCCGTGTTTATCTATGGTGACAATGGGATATCACGTGCCACTTGATGTATGTTTTGGTGACCAACTTGCGGGTTCCGCCCATGAACCTATGCGTAGGGGTCGGCACATGTTTTCTTGACTCTCCAGTAGAAACTTTGGGGCACTCTTTGAAGTACTTTGTGTTGGTTGGATGAATCTGAGATTGTGTGATGCATATCATATAATCATGCCCACGGATACTTGAGGTGACAATGGAGTATCTAGGTGACATTAGGGTTTTGGTTGATTTGTGTCTTAAGGTGTTATTCTAGTATGAACTCTATGATAGATCGAGCGGAAAGAATAGCTCTATGTTATTTTACTACGAACTCTTGAATAGATAGATCAAAAAGGATAACTTTGAGGTGGTTTCGTACCCTACCATAATCTCTATGTTTGTTCTCCTCTATTAGTGGCTTTGGAGTGACTCTTTGTTGCATGTTGAGGGATTGTTATATGATCTATCTATGTT